ACCGATTGAACAAGAAAGTAGATGTGGAGATAAATAGGCTTCGTGTTGAAAATAAAGGATTGAGAGATGAGAATTAGTCCATGAAATTACATCTCACTGAAATTGATGACACTGCGTGTAATTCAAACACCTCTTCAAAGTCGAGTGAGGTTATTCGTAATCAAAAGGTACTGAAAGATGGGATGACCAACATCAGATTGACTCTGGAAACCTTTGATGGTTCAGCGTCTGATATCTTATCTTTATTTATGGATGATGTTCATACAAAATTAACTGGAAAAGGACCTTCTAGGGTAAGCAAATAAATACCAATGAATATTTATCATTCATGTAACTTTCATACCATTTATAATAAATCAATTTTGTATTCTCGAGACAGGAACAAAAGGCTGATGACATGGCTGATATGAAAGCTAAAAGTCAAATGGAACCTGATCATGGTCACAACATCCTCCACTAAATACGAGTTTGCAGGTCCTTCCTTTGATCTTGGCATTGGTGGCACACAGAGTCAAAGTCAGACAAATGTTGATGACTCATTTTTTGCAACGAAAGAATTGCAAGACCAAGCGGATGAAATCATTGCATGCGTGTTACATTCGACTAAACTTGATAAGGAAGAGGTGAGACGTACATAAACATTGTCAAATTATAATTAATTTGTTACAGTCAAATTAATAATTTATGCTAATTTATCGTCATTTTTATTTTAGGCTCAGGACGTTACACCTGCTCCTATTTCTTCTGGGCTACCTGTCAAGAGGGCACACAAGCCATCCAAAACTCTACAGTCTTCGTTTGTTAATATTCATGCACGCCATACTGTGACTGGAACAAAATCTGATTTTGGGAACATTGTTCTCAAAAATTATTTAAACGAAGTAGATAGTGCTGGCATAATTTCTTTTCGAAATTGGTTTAATAGGGGATACAAGACCCGAAACAGGTACATTCAATGTATATTATATTTGTTAATATGACTTAAGATTGTTACTATGATCTCTTATTAAATTTTGTGACTATGACAGTGCTAGTCACAGATTAACAGTTCTGGTCACAAAATAATATTATTCTGGACACAGATTAACGATTTTGGTCACAAATTAATAGTTTTGGACTTTGATCACAGATTAACTGTGTATATAGGGCCAAATTCAATGACATAGACAACGTGATAAGTCCACCATTTATATGTGGGACATCCCTGTCCATTAAAAGACTTGGTGGCATGCGTTGATCGATTCTGATTCTTCATTGAATAGCACGGTATGATAGTGCAAACATTTTTCACATATGGAAATATTTCACATTATGCATCTTTTTTATTCATGACAGCACTTGGATGCGCGCTTGAACTTGCAAAGTCGGGGGTGATGTAAAGATGAAGGCAACAACCGCGGACTGCATTTTCGACATGTCAATCCCGAGTATATACCCCAATTTTATGAAAGACCCAAGTATTGTCAATGAGAAGCAGGATCTTCTCAAAACCATTAATGGTGAAAGACTAACATTTAATACACCTTTGAGAGAGGTTAAGTATGTACTTCTGCTGATCATGCCTACAAATCAGGCTCACTGGATGCTAGGACAATTGGATATTAATAAACGTGTCCTATACATTTTCAATTCCGGTGACAAAACATATAGGGACAACATGCTTTATGAAGGGATAATACCTGTTGTGAAGATACTTACACATTTGATGAAATTTTTTGGTTTATGTGTGGAAACTAGTGATGGCGGAGATAAACACTCCAGGAACTGAATGTAAACATTGTACCTAGTTTATCCCAGCAACAAAATGGGTAAGATTGCCTGTGTTGATTTTACAAACAATAACAATTTCAACATTCTTTCTTAGTTACTTATAGCTATTTTATGTAAATATTGTAGGCATGATTGTGCCGTTTTTGTGATCAAGTATGCACAGTTTTTGTTACACAATGATATTGCTAAGATGCCTATGTCATTTGATGCTGGGAAAGCCAGGATGGAACTTGCAGCCTTACTCATCAAGAATAGACAATTAAAGAATGGTGGAAGAGACAAAACAATGTCTGATGAATGACAGAAATGTTGACTGAAATGATTTGTGGTAGATGTATATTGAAAAATACACTTTGTTGATGATGGATTTCCTTGTGGATGTTTTTGGTATTAAATTGGTATTAATTTTTGATGTTTTTCAACTAAATTGTATAGTGGGTGAATATTTGTATTTAGATTTTATATTCATCATAGTACTTTATGTTTGTTGGTAGAAAAAATATGTATTTTATGTTTGTGATCGGGCTATGACAATTTAAATCAGGTCACAACTGGTCACATCCAGACAAATGTTTATTCATGTTAAAATACACAAGTCGCAAACGATGATAATTAGTCACAAACTATACTAACTAATAAATTACCTTAAAGGTTTTAATATTTTGCATGAGGCATCGTTAACAGCAAAATACATTCATCGTAGTACATCATGTTTGCTTGTAGACAAAATATGTATTTTATGTTTGTGAACATGCTATGACAATCAAAATTAGGTCACAAAAGGTCACATTCGAACAGATGTAATTCATATCAAAATACACAGGTCACAATTGATGATAATTAGTCACAAACTATACTAACCTATAAATTACCTTGAAGGTTTTAATATCTAAGCCATGGTTAACAGCAGAATATAGGTTAAGCATAAATGTTCAAAAACTATAATCCTCGTAATTTAAGTTTTTTAAGTTTGTTATCCAAATAAAATGGTGAGACATTACGAGGATAATTTGTTCAACAATAAAACATTTAACATAACAAACCAGTAGGTGTGGTCACATTTAATAGACAAAAAAGTCACAGAAGGTCATAGACATCATAAACAATGTAGTAGTATATAACTAAATTCATAGCCTAACAGAAAATGTCAAAAACTTGAAATACTAAACTAAATATGTTCAAATATGATAAAGTATATGAAAGAATTCACTATTTTTATAACATGAGTGTAAATTGTTGTAATAAATGTTCAAAAACTATAATCCAAAAATACACAGGTAATGAATCAACAATGAAAGAATTTCAAACCACAAAAAATATTTTCATGTTCAACAAACTGTGATATGCTATTTGAAATGATTTGGTTGCTTCTTCGTCTTCAGTTTTTGTGATTTATGGTTAAGTGGCAACAGGTCCTTGCATGTTCTACGATTGTAACCAGATTCTCTGCATCTTCTACATTTCACAACTTGTGATCTTTTCACGGGCTGATTTTTTTCTCGTCTCAGTAGGTCGGCTAGAACTTCTTTTTTGATTTGGGACAAGTATAATTATACTCTTCACATCATTTGGCAAACTCCACTTTGCTCTATTATCTACAAGCATAACTATCTCTTTGTAGGTATTCACATATGCACCAATCGTGTAATAATATGAGTAGAAATCATACACATCAAACGTCAATGTTGCAAACATTGCTAGTGCATGTGGACATGGTAGTTGATCCACTTGAAACATTCTACAACTGCATGTGCGTTCAGTTATATCAATCATATACGATGAAGAATCATCTCGCACTTCAAACAAAATGTGACTTGTAGGGGAACCTAAAATTAAATAAATCAGTAATAATTGTGAATTTAAGCGAGATATAATTATAAATGTGACCATCATAATTTATATATTGAACACCATCTTTACCTTTAGATTTTGCACATCATGGCTCATTTCTCTTAGCATTTTTTCATACTTGGTTGCAAGCTTTGTGAAAGTATCATGTGTATTGTCCTTATTCTTGCAAAACTAAGATTGGACCGTTTGTCGTAATGACTCAATAAGTGCTTCAATAGGGTAATTTTTTGATGCCTTTGTGACTGCATTTACAAATTCAACAATATTCGATATCATTGTAGAGTATCGATTTGTTGGCATGTGTAATCTGGACCATCTTTCATATCCTACTTCCAACTACAAAATAAATTCAGTTTCATCCATATTATAGTAAAATATTGTAATGATAAATGAAATATAGTTCAAACATTAAGCATGCATGGTCACATATGGTCACGGATGGTCATAGACGCTAAATAATATTACAGAAAAAGTCACAACAGTCACATACCATATAATCTCTGATCTCTTCATTGATTAAGTCCAATTGCTGCATTTTGTATTCAAATTCATCTACTGTATACGCTCTTATAGTAGCATTGAATGCATGGGTGACATTGTGACTTGATTTTGTATAACAGGTCTTCAAATTTTTAAGCAAATCATATTAACAGATCTCATGCATTGCCTCTGGATATACAACTTCAATGGCATTTCTTATGTTACTGTGTATGTCCGATACTATACATAATCGGTCCCTCGATCCATACGCCATCTTCAACATCTCAAAAAATCATCTCCATGAATTATCATTTTTATTGTCTCCAATCCCAAAAGCTAGTATGAAGATGTTGTTGTTTACATCTTGTGTACAATCTGTGAAGAGTGTACATCCATAGTGACTATTTAAATATGTGGTATCAACTACAATGACTGGCCTACAATATTTTCAACCGACGATTGATGCACCCAAAGCCACAAAACAATATTTAAATCTATTTAAACGATCTATTTCTATTCTTGTGACTGTCCCTATATTCATATGTTCTAGTATAAAGAAATAAGAAGGTGGCAATTGAAATGAGGTCATCGGATAACCTCTAATCAATTTTAATGTCTTTTCACATGACCTCCTTACATTCATGTAGTTCACCTATACTCCATATTTATTTAATGTCATTTGAAATGTCATTAAGGGTGTAGATTGTATGTGAAGAAGTGTATTTGTACCCGATACAGTTGGGCATAATTGAGCTAGATGCTTGTCGATGAGATCCTAATACAATGTTCATGGTGCATGTGTGACCACTATACATTTCCCTGATTTTAATCATTTTCATTTCTCCCAAGTGTGACGATCTAAATATCCACTTGCAATCATTACGAGAATACTTTATTACTTACTCCTTCTTGTCCAATCTCAACACCTTATATTCAAACTTGTTTTGTATGGCATAGAAGGCCAAGCTCATTTTTGGTATTTTCTTGTTGCGGAAAACTTTTTCCTCAACTACTTCTCTAGCATCTGCTTGAGATACTAATGTTACATCTTCTTCAATATTTCCTTTCTCAACGGTCATAATCGAGTCACAAATATCTTGAGCTATTTGTTGTAAACAAAATACATTAGCTGATGACTCAATGGAAGTAGTTGATGAGTCTAGACATTGCAATGCACATGTTGACTGACATGAATCTGTAGCGATAACATCAACCATAATAGGATAGTTTGATACAGTTCTATCCAAAGATTTTAGCCTCAAATATGTTAAGACATTGTTGTTGCTTAGAATTCGAACTGGAGGTAAAGTAGAATCCAAAAAATATTTCAATCTCACAGCTACTTCTGCGTGAATAAGCCCCCAACTCTGAAACAACAAGCTCAACCAATTCATCATACTTGCATGTATCATTCACTATTATAAGTGATGTGTAACTTCCATATATCAGGCATACGAGAATAATTGTCATCCCTGATCACAGACAAATAAAAGCATGTCACACTTTATTCATTAAAATCGGGAAATATTCGGATGCAATAACAGTGGTTAATACAGGTCACAAATCAAGAAGTAAAGATACATCAATACAGGTCACAAAAGTTCATATTTAATGTCAATATATTCACATACAATGAACAAATATAAGGTCACATAGAGTCAACTTTTAATGCGATGACATTGATCATATATCAAACTATTTCCACATATGGACTGTCAAGATATTTAACATATATCTCACAATCTATTCAATTTCGTAGTCACAAATAGTCACAGTCAACAGAAACATGTATCAATATGAATGAATTACATAAATGATTACAGATAGTCACAGTTCAGCATGTTTATAACTGTATAAACAGTTATACACGAGTTTTTTGCCGAGTTTCAACATGTATAAGAAAGAGTAAATTGAACGATAACTTGAAATGTAAGAAAAACCTTAAAATTCCAGTCAATACCCTTTTGCTGAGTTTCAACTTCTCCGAAATGAAAGTCAGAACTATGTCGACAAATTGTGACTTCGTTGAATGATTGTAGCTTGAAATCAACGATTCACAGTATATTTTTCGTGATTTTGGAGAGTTTTGACAATCACGGATTTTCATTTTTTGTTCAGAGAAAATCCAATTCCTCTATATCCGAGCTTCAACTTCTCCATAACAATAAAACTCAGAAGTATTTCAACAAGATTGTGACTTTATTGATTGATTTTAACTCGAAATTGAGGAATGCCGATGAAGTTTTTGTAGTTTTGGAGAGCTTTTAAGGAAGCTCGTTGTTTAGATCGAGAAAATCAGGTTTCATTTTGTGAGGAAGGTGAGAAATATATCTAAGTATGGTATATTTACTTATTTGGAGCAGATTAGTACCTTTTTTCTCCAAAAAATAGTGTATATTATATCATAACATAATATATTTTTTATTTTTTATTTACCCTCTGATTTATTAAAGATTTTAAGTAGTTTGTCAATTGTGAAATGTGTTGGTCTTCCCTAACAAGTTCGTGTTCAAAAGATTTGGATTTGGGATTCTACTCGGAGAGAATTTATTGGGAAGATGAAGAAACGATCAGACGAAAAAGAGCATGTGATTGTAATAAATACCTTTGTCACCAACCAATTAAAAGAATTTGTTGCAACCTTTTTTCCGATCATTGACAAGTTTCTGTTACTGTTAGTGTAACGAAGTGCATGTTTGTAATAACAGCCTTGAAGTTTTTAAGCAACTTTATAATCTAAACATATTTCACCTTTTTTAGTGGATGTTTGGCAACTTTTTATTTTAATTTTTAACTCCAAAGATATTTAATTAGGAATAATGCTGATTGTACAGAAGGTAACATTCAAAAGCAGTGCCAGAAGATGATTTGAAAGGAAATAATTTGATGAAAAAGCTTACTATATTTTAAACTGGCAAACGATAGGATGTCATGTGACATTATGAAAATTTTTATGTCAACCTTGATGTAAATGTAACAAAGTCATTTAATTAATTTAATCTTTTTTCTTAGTACTATAAAAAAACTTACTTGACATTTATGTTTCTGACAATTCGAGACGTTTAGATTTTGGACATGGTTCTTGCTTGGGGGTGGTAGTGGTAGAATTTTATTTTATTTTATTTATTTTTTTATCCTTTTTTTCTTTTAATTTTAATTCAAAATAAGAGTATAATGATCATTTGAAAAAAAAAAAATTTTGACTCTTTAAGGATTGAACTTATAATATTAGTTAGGTGATAACCAAGCTCATAATTTTGAAAAGTTAGAAGGCAAATACCAACTGGAATTTACCTTCGTAAAAAAATCCAACATATTTAAACAAAATAATAATAATAATAATAATAATAATAATAATAATAATAATAAAATTTGAGGGAGGAGGAGGAGGAGGAGGAGGAGAAGAAAAATGTGTGTAGCAATGGCCCAGGCCCAAACGGATAACAGAGAATGAATGGCTATGGTTGCCTCTCCATCCACTATAGGCAATCCATTCAACCGCTGGATTTCACTACTATCAATTTAAACATCATTTATCTTTGTTCGATTCGTCAAGGAAAATGAGAGAATAAAACATTGTTTTAAAAGGCTCGATACAATCACTTTTTATGTCTTTTACATCTAAATTCACTTCGACTCGTAAAAGTTTAAAATGCATTATTGCCACGTAATTAGGCTTTATATCTTTTAGAACATTGAAATAAAAACTCTAATATAAGTATACCAAATGTGAATTATATATGGCACGATAGCCGTGGTCACGTGGTCAAGATTGCTGCCTTCGTCCAGATAAAGCTAAAGCATCATAACACATTTATATTTAAGTTTTACTTGGATAATAATGAAAATCAATCCTTGTTTTTAATCTTGTTCCAGTATACTACAATTAATTTTGGTTTTCCAAATCTATTACTAAACATTATTCTTTAGGCACATCTAAGCATGCATAACAAAAGTAAATAAGGAAAAAGATGGACGAACAAGCTCAATGACGGACTCAATTTTCAAATACTGATTTGACAATTTTTGATTGATAGTTTTTGTTTAATTTAAAAAAAGGTTGAACCCCAATCTTGAGGGCTCCACCGTCCTGCCCCTAGAGTTTTGTGAAGGAGGTAAATCGCGGAATGTGCCCCGTCAGGCCAAGGAACAAGAGCTGCATGTACACTGCTCCTACAAGGAGTCCAATTTCATATTTCAGGAATCGAACCTCCACACTGCGGCTGTCAGCAAGGCGTGAGATAACTTCACTCCTGTCCTTTGCACCACTAGACTATGCTCCAGGGAGCATTTTTTGTTTAATTTTTTCTAACTACCAAGTGTATATGTGTTAAAATCTCTGTCATTCACTCTGTTTGCGTAGCATTTCTCTTTTAGAATAAATTACTATTAACAGCAAGAGATAATACGTGTATTATAGAGCTTTTATTTTTGTTTTTACTTTTACTCATTGCAAAAGAGCTATCCAAAAAGTCCCATTAATTAGTTTTTTGAAAATTAATTAACTTTCGAAACAACTTTTAGAGGAAGTAATTAGAAGAACATTTATGAAATTAATCAAACAAGTTCAAAAGCGACTTTTAAATCTCAAAAAATTCTTTTAACTTCTCAAAAATCATACCAAATGGGCTTATAGAGTAGAGGAACGAACAATTTAACAAATTGCATAAATAAAAATGTTGGAAGATATCTCCAACTAAAATGTCAGCCTAATTACTGACGAACTCCAATTTATGCTTGTGTCAAATGTTTTGGTGGCCCAAAATTAAGGGCAGAGTAGACGAAAGAACCAAAATCTCTACTTACAAGAAATTAGAAATCAATTGAGGCCCAAGAACTTCCACCAAAATGTCCCAACAACTCCCCAGATTACTGCATTAATCACTGCCATTATGAATCCAAACTTGAAGATATCCGGGAGATCTACATAACCAGCTGTTTCCAAAAGAGCAATGGCTCAAGTCAGTCAACTTTTTCAATGGAAAAATAAGAATGTACTTTTCAGGATAAATTAATTGAGCAACCATTTGTTTTCTTCATATTTTCAGCAACAAAAATCGAAAAACAAGAAATGTTTCATCTCCTTCATGAGCACAAAATATAAGTAGAGAGAAAGTGTAAAACCTTATTGGTGTCACTCAACTTTCAACAGAGTTCATTTGTCATGGAAATTTTTTCGTCAACTTGGTCACTTAAAGTTAACTTTCCCTTCTGTTTCAATTACATCACCAAATTGACTTCTGATAGTAAATCTAATGGATTGTCCTATGTGGTACACTTTACTTACTGAAGTCACATAATGATGTAACTGAAACAGAAAGGAAAATTGAATAACCAAATTTGAAAAACAAAAAAGTAGGGTGACTAACTAAAAAACCGTTGAAAGTTGAGTGACCAACGGTGTTTCTTACACAATAGGATATAAGCTTTATTGTCCAATTGTGGCACTAGAATTGTTGAATCCATTACTACTAAATTTCTGAAGAATGATTTTAGTGATAGTGGGATTTCTACATTGTAAGAACTTTTTGTTGAACCAAAACAAGTTGTCCAAATTTCTATTATACAAGAAAAGAGTTGGTTCTCAACCCTTGAAGTTGTCAATGAAGAAACGGGGATCTAAGAGTAACTTCTAATTCCTCATCGAACAACGATTAGATCAGTTTCTGAACCACAAGTTAGAAGATCGCAAAGGGAAATGAGGTCTGCATTACCAAATGATTACATTACCTACTTATTAGAGAGTGATTTTAATATTGGGCATATTGTTGATCTTACGACTTATAACAAAATATTGAAATACATTTTGATAGAAATCGTGATTTGTTGGGACTTTCTCCAAAGGCTTATATATGACGTGTTCTAGAAAGGTTCAATATGCAGATGTGTGCACCCGATGATGTGCCTACCATAAAAGGGGATAAGTTTAATAAAGCTCAATGTCTAAGAAATGAGTTAGAAAGGGAATCTATGAAGATGATAGCACATGCTAGTGTTGTGGAGAATTTGATGTGTGCTCTAGTTTGCATTATACCAGATATAGCCTATACAGTCAGTGTTCTTAGTAGGTTTCAGTGGAATCTAGGACAAGAGGAAAAGCAGCTAAGAAAGTTACAAGATACTTGCTTACTTTTCAGTGTTCAAATCACCTTAAGGTGGTAGGCTACTCAGATTCTAATTTTGTTGGATGTCAAAATGATTGAAAATCAACCTCAGGTTACATTTTCATGTTAGATGGTGCACATATCTCTTGGAGAAGTGTTAAATAGACACTAATGGCATCTTCTACTATGTAGGCTGAATTTGTGGCATGTTATGGGCTACAGTCCAAGTCATATAGTTAAGAGATTTCATTTTTGGTTTGAAAGTTGTTAATTCCATCTAGAAACCAATCATTATTTATTGTGATAATAGTGCAGCAAAGTTCTTTTTAAGGAATAATAAAAGTTTTGGTATGTCAAAGCTTACTAAAATCAAATATTTGGTGGTTAGAGATAGATTTAAGGAAGGACGGACGAAATTATAGCATATTAATACAGAAGCGATGACTGCAGATCGTTTAACTGAGGGACTAGCTCCAAAAGTTTTTAAGACACATGCTGCTAATATAGATATTATAGAAACCTTTTATATTTTTTGTTAGTGGAAGTTATTTTGTAAAAGAATTACATTTTGCTTGATCCTTTTATGGGGTACGTTAGGTAACCCATTTATTCTTCGGGTACAGTCTCTTTCAATATTAAAATATACTTTTCCCTATCCATAACTTATTTGAGCGTGAGTTTGACTTATGTCTTTTTATTATAATGTTATTATGATCTCGAGATATGACAAAACAAGTCTCTTTTAGAGACATGTGACTTCATTTTGATATAAAGTACTATGAAGACCGATATGAATTAGCATAATTTTTTTTTTTTATCTCATTTGGTGCTAAATTCATATCATATACTACAATATTGGTTGGAGGATGGGAATCGATGTCGATAAGGATGTTGGCATTTTTAGCTGTGGAATGGTCTTACATCGTTTAATTGGTGTAACGACTTCCATGTTTGATGTTGACATTCTAATTGGATCGTATCGTGTTGCGTAAAGTGTCATCATTTGAGCTATACTTGTGTGGCCACCTATATAATCTAGCTTGGAAGCCAAAAGTTTTGTTATGGCAATCAAATGTTTGCTCAAATGAGAGAATGTTAGGTATGGGTTTCAAATTTGATTGTTAATTTGACGGGTTAGATGTATGACTCATAATAATATTGTGATTAGACCCAATTTATTAAGTAATCAATTGGGCCAGTTACACCCTATGAGTTATATTTTATATAATGTGGTAATTTTAAGGATGTGGACCGAAAATATATGTAAACCCTAATTAGGGTTTAAGTCGTTAATGGGACTGCTAAATAAATTTCTATTTAAAGATTACGTCTCATCCCCTCTCCATATTGTTTTATTGGTTTGCCCCATTGGCAACTAATATTTTTTGAGCAACAATGAGGGAATGGCTGCTAATATTCATATTCATAATGTCTTAAATATGTGTGAATTTGAACTATTAATTATTGTTTTGTGATTCTCATTCTTTAGCATAATTATCATTAAATTTAACATCCCATGCCTGGTGTTGGTGGATATTGTCCATATGGTGACATGTGTCGTGGTGGCGGATACGACGGTGGTGGTGGTGGTGTTGAAGTTCGAGGTGGAAGTGGAAGTAGCGAAGGCAGCTAATTTGGGATAAACATTAGCTACCAACCTTCTTTCATATTTTTAAAAAAAGTCAAAAAGTGACAAGAATTTTGTATTGTCAAAAGCCTCTCTAACAAGAAATTCAGTCATGTTTCTCCTCATTTTGAAACGCAAGTTATTTTCATCTTCCACGATAACTTTTTTGCACCAACTTAAAGAGTCTCTTGAAGCATGATTTTAAGAGTTGGCTTTTTAAAATCATGTCCAAGAGACTATTTAAGAACTCCTTAAATTAATATTTTAATTTGGCGAGCTAATCTCACTTTCTATGATTAAATGCATTCAAAATATTTCAATTTTCATTGTAAAAAATAATATAATAATCTAGAAAAAATATTTAAAATAAAAGATACAAAAAAGTAATAAATATTTTTTGTGATTAGTAAAATTAAATGTTAAATATAAATAACTTATTGGAGTATTTAAAAATTTTTAATCTCTATATTTATGATGCTCTCTAAATTATAGGCTCTTTTAAGTCAGATTTTCATGGCACATAGGCTCAACGTTGAAGATTTTCCTTTACTTTAAAATAATATCTTATTGTTCTCTATAGTCAATGCCTCTATTTTTGTTTGCTTAGGTAGCATCTTCTTTAAAAGCTTCTAGGAACAATTGTTCAATGCTTTTGATGGGCCCTTTGATGTGTGTATGGCTTGCCTTCCGCGTTTTTGATACTGAGGTGAGTGATGACAAGGACTATTAATTTCAAGCCTGGATATAATGTGTGATTGTTCCTAAACTCATGCTTGACAGAATTTCAAAGGCACTAATTTTATAAAAGAAATTTTGGTGGTTAGAAGAGTATTTATAGAAAGTTGGTCTAATGTGATTTCTTTCAAACGTACATATAAAATAGGAAGTTCTTTCAAAAATTAGTATTTAATAAAAATTAAGGTAATTTCCTCCAAAAATTCTTATACAGCAAGCATAAATAAAAGCTATTCCAAATGGGCAGGGTATTTGGCCCATCATCATTAGGCTTGAGCTTCAAACAAGATTGGCCCGTGAGTAAAGTCACGTCAACACAAGGCCTTACACGGTTGAGATTGGTCTAAGCTTCTATTGGTGCTTGTTTGGGAAAGCTAAAAAATTTGTTAAAAGTTTATGGTCAAAGTTAACAATTAAATTTTATGAATATTTCATTAATATTTATTAAAATCTATTAATTTTCTTTTTATAAATAGCTGTGTCAAACAACGCATAGTGGGTTTCATGTATGGATATACATTGTGAAGATTGTTATTGCTTTTCTTTTTTAATTTGTGAATCTTGTAGAATAGAACTAATTACAAGACGAGGGTATAATAAAGAAAGGAGAATATAGGGATGTATAGTCTTTAAAAATTAAAATAAAGCTAATATGATTAGGATTTAAGAAAGAACGAAAATTTTAAGTATGTATCATCTTCTTAACTTGCAATATAGTTAATAAGATTAGGTTTAATAAATAATGGAGATTTTAACGGTGTTAGGTCTTCGAAACTCAAAATAGGGTTAATATGACTATGGTCAACAAATAATGGAGAATTTATTGGTAAACAATAAGTTTATGGGTACATGGTCAATAGAATTAGGGTTTAGGAAAGAATGAAATTTTTATTTATGAATGACAAATATAAGGATGGAATTTAGTATTCCAAATTTTAGAATATTATTAATAAGATTATAATAAGGAATGAAAATTTAGGGATGAATGACATATTTAAGGATGGAATTGGAATATAGTTAATGAAATTAGGTACCAAGCCCTTATTTGGGCTTCATTAATCCAAAAATATATTTTCCTCTATCTTCTTACATATTTTTTAATAAAATAATATTACACATAAATCTAAAACTTTTCCCTTTTTTTTTTTTCTTTTAAAACCACACATTCTTCAAAAATTCACTATTACAAAATAAAATTTTCTCCAAAATCTATTTATAATGGAGCTCAAACAAGAGTTAAGAAAGAATGAAGGACAAGAAATTTTAATGGACAATAAGTCAAAAGGCACCGGGAGGGGCCCGGGGGTTGAATTTTTGAATTTTAGATTCTTGTTTGGGCAAATAAATATATATATTTATCTTTGAACATTTCTCCAATTCACTATTCAATTATTTATTATATTGCAAAATATAAATGCCACTCGAGTTCTACTGGTGCAGAATAATGAAATTATCTAACTTACGGCATGATACATATTATTTGAAATATTTTTTTAATAGTGTTATCCAATTTAACTAACACGCCATAAATTTCTTGACCCTGTTGCAATGAACCCGAGTCTCGAATCGAAAACCTCTTGGTAAAGGGAAATTCAGGGGGGGGAAAACCGGCTAGATCATGAAAAATTTGATTATTATATGAATATGTAGCGACATATGCAAAATGATCATATTTAAAACAATGGAAAGAAAGTTTATCAAAACCAATTGTGGAGATTCAATAATATTTGCCATGATAAAAAACCATAGATAATCTTTTGAAAATGCTCTTAGTAATTTTATGATGATTAATTACTTGTCATATTCATGATAATTATGAATTTTGAAGCTACTACTTAAGAGATGACGTTTTATGCACAACAAAGACATCATGTTAATTATATAATACCAAAGCACCAACATTCTTTATTAACCATAAAAGGAACGTAAATAAACACTCATACAAGGAATACATAGTGATAAACAACTCTACATAAAAAATAGTTTCTGAAGTAGATAGATCTTGTGACTAATGTCGCACACACCAGATTCATTCAGCAAATCAAACGACATATTGCTACCAAGAAGTAGTACGTAATTAGGAGAGAAATGGGAGGTTTCCAATCAGAGAATCCGCACCATCATTTCCATAGATAAGCTTCCCAAGAACCACTCCTTTTATGAAAGATGAGGAATTAACCTTATTTGGTGGCGGGATAGGATAGTTGTATGGATTACCAGTGGCTGGGGGATACTGATCGGGTTGCATACCTGGACCAGATGATGGTGGTGGTGGTGGATATTGAGATCCATTCCAGTAGGGTGGCATGCCTGGACCTGCTGGTGGTGGTGGTGGTGGTGGATATTGAGATCCATTCCAGTAGGGTGGCATGCCTGGACGTGGGGGTGGTGGTGGTGGATATTGAGATCCATTCCAGTAGGGTTGCATGCCTGGACAGGCTGGTGGTAGAGGTGGAGGTGGTCGATATTGAGATCCATTCCAGTGGGGTGGCATGCCTGGACCTGCTGGTGGTTGATATTGACACGCAAAGGCATAGGGTCCCATGCCTGGTGTTGGTGGATATTGTCCATATGGTGACATGTGTAGTGGTGGTGGTGGTGGTGAAGTTGGAGATGGAGGTGGAGGTGGAGGTGGAGGTGGAGGTGGTGAAGTTGAAGCTGGAGGTGGTGGTGGTGGTGAAGTCATCTCGTTAGATCAATACTCGAGGGATGGACTGCTGGTGCTATATATTTCTAGGGTTGTGCTTGGGGTGCAGGTTAAGAATTCTGCGAGCCCCAAAATCTATTTATATATAATGGAGATGGAACTCGAACTCATCGTTGGGTTTTTCCACCTTAAGGAAGCTGCTGCGAAGGCACTCATTTGACCTCAACGTTGAACACAATATTTTTCCACCAACTCACCTACCTTTTTGTATGATAATTAATATTTTTCTACAGACATCCAAATAAGCAACCGATAAATACCACATAGACTTCACTCTCTAGTAGTACGTGCTGCCGGTTATAATAATTAATGAATCAGTTGAATTCCTCATTTTCTCATATTTTATACTAATTTACGTACAGTTCAGTTATTACATTTTTTACGACTGATTCATAATAAAAAAAATCAGCTTTAATTTGCAGCTCGTCATTCATATTTCCACATTATCTTTTATTTCGATCGGAACAAATTAGAAGTTAGTGAAAAAGATTAGAAATTAAGCCAGTTAAAAAAAATTACAATACAACGGAACTGCCAGAGATTGGGAGTTCAATAAACCTACTTATCTGAATAAATCATGCTATCAATGTAACGCCCCAAATATTTTCAATTTTAAAAACTCGAAGTGTTACCAAATCTCTTATTTATTTAATAAATATATAAGCAGAATGTAAATTCTTATTTTTGAGGAAATAAATTTTACTCTTGAAACTTTAAAGAAAATTTGTTAATTCAACTAAATGAATTGAAAAGAGTAGTCAACCAACATTTAAATTAAATAAAATCGGTCAACATAAATTCAAACGAAATACACATAAACACGAATGTCAAAGCCATGCTAATACTAAACGTGAAAGTATAAAATGAAAGTCTAGTCGTGAATGTGCTTAAAATTATTGTTTTTTGATGGTCCATAAGGATCCACTCATACAATCTTCAACGCGTCTAGCATGACTTTTTCTAATCTGAAAATTTATAAAAGTGAGTATTTTAAATATAACACCCAGTAAGATACATACAAATTTGTATTCAACATAATATAAATATAAATGAAACATTCATACCCCGTATTCATAGATTTAGAACCATTGATCGCGATTACAAATAGGTCAAGGAATTTATTTAGAATTCTCACATCCTGAAGGATTTAACATAATTGGACTTGATGGTCTATCCGGAGGATTAACCTAAAAATCAATCATGGAGTCTTAAGCCATTGAATAAAATCATAATATAGATATCATGGAGAACAAAAATTTAACCACTAGACTTAAGTATACTACTTAATTAATAATATGAAATTTGCCAAGAATTTGAGCGGAAAAAAAAAATCCTCTTTGCCTTCACTTGAAGAATAGCAAAATTTATAGAGTTGATAACTTTGTGTGTATTCAAGAACCTTGTGTTTAAGTATCATGTAAATTTGATTGATGAGTGGGTAAAGGAAAATGGCCAAGTGTTTGAAAAAGACCATCACATGTTCTCATAACTTACAAACACTCGTACACCACCAAAAAAAAATAAAATAATAAAGGGATAAGATTGGTTATTTTTACAACATGTGAAATCCCTATACATTAATTGTTGACCCCAAAAAATGAGACAACAGACGTCAGGGTCCACTCACATCCACATGGTAAATTCCAGCACGTTTGGATAGGAGAGTTGATCGAAAAGTTGATAAAGTCGTGAATGTGGGAGATGCTCTGGACACGAGACGTCACCATTCGAACACCGACGATTATATCAAAAATGAAATCACACTAACACAATCACGAACACTTCGACCATGATATTCGTAATCCAAACTCAAGTGAATTAATATCAAGAGAGAAGCAATATTATGATAACCATATAGAGTTTGTATATCTATTTTTTCTTCCTTTACAATGTTATAAAAATTGATATTTATAGTATTCAGGCCGAAGTGGTCACCGTTGGATCGGATCCACGTGGTTTTGTCTAATTAATCGAAGTCTCACATGTCATACATTAATTATATTGAAGGAGTCGGCTACCCTACACTCCTAAACTGATATTAAGAGAGGCATTACATTAATCATTCCAGAAGATACTTATCAGACCTATTCAAAGATAGTGAGTACTTCGGATTGAAGAGAAAGGACTTCGGATGTGAAGAGTTTAGGGTATTAGGAGGAAGCGCCTCGACAGATGAGCCTCAGATGGAGATAGTACTTTGGCCATAAAGCAGCTCTTGCCTTTTCTTCATTTTAACTTGATTAATTGCCAGATGTCTGCACGTAATGCCTCCATGTGGCTATCTCTAGAAGCTTCACATTTGTCAACCATTCAATGCAAAGGAAATTAAGATTTGATACATTATTAAATGACTACACGAGTTTCATTTTAACCACAATAACTTGACAAAATGAGTTCAAAATAAATTTCTCTTGAACTCAATTTACATAATTTAACACGATTTACAAAATGAAACCCAAATATATATATATATATATATATTATATCAACGCCTATTGTATTCAATTATTTGGCACACATAATATGCAGAATAAAATAAAAGAAATGCATAATTAGAAGATAAATCTTCCTTTAAAAAAGAAAAAGAAATACATGTATTGTATTATTATTTTAATTAATGGATTTTAGTGTGGTGATAAGGCTAGGCATGGACCCATTAATTTGCTAATGCTTAAAGTTAATTTAACAAAATTCAAGCTCTAAGTGAAATGTAAAATGTAAATAAATTTCGGAACGTTACAATCAATCCATCCGCCATTAACTAAGAACGAATGAATCATAGTCCAATATTACCGCATTTGTCACTTATTGATGTTTCTACCTTTATGAAATCTATAAATTCCTTACACATTTTACGTTAATTAATGATTTGACATGTTAAAGTAAGTGTAACAAAATTTGAAAAATCACCACCCGCCTCCCTCATTTATGATAACCTTGCCCCCAAGAACCACTTCTATTTTTTATTTTATTTTTTCCTTTTTGTTCTTTTCCCTCTCTTCTTAACCCACGTTTGATCCAAAGGCCCCCTCTCTTTTTTTCTTCCTCATCTTTCTTCCATATTATTAAAAAAATCAAAAAATGACAAGAATTTTATGCTCTCAAAAGCACATTTGACAAAAAATTTGGTCGTTTTTCTCCTCATTTTGGAACACAAGGTAATATTTTTACATCAACATATCGGCCAACTTGAAGAGTCTTTTGAAGCATGATTTTAAATGTTGTCTTTTTAAAATCATGCTCCAAAAGGCTCTTTAAATTAATATTTTAATTTAGAGACTAGATTTGGCTATCCAAATTTGAATAGCTAACCACACTATTTATAATTAAATATATTCAAAGTCTTTCAATTTTCAATGTAAAAAAATAATATAATAATCAAGAGAAAAAACTAGTTAAAATAAAAGATAGAAAAAATAATAAATTTTTTTGAAAGTAGTAAAATTAAATGTCAAATATAAAGAGTTTGTTAGAGTATTTCAAAATTTTTAATCTCTATGTTTATAGATGCTCTCTAAATTATAGAGTATACTATTTGAAAATAGAGAATCTATTGGAGATACTCTTAGAGCAAAAATTATAAGCTCTTTTAAGTCAGATTTATCATTTAGTCAAACAAACATTTTATGTGATTTATATAATTATACATTTTATTTAACATTTAATTTTGCTTGCTTTTACTCTCTTCAGAATTGAAAATCTTATCAGTTATCCATTTCGCACGCAAAAGAATTATCCAGTATGTTTGACAAATCACTACTTCCAATATTATTTATCCATACCAAGTTGAAGACACAAATATGTACAATTTTAGTTATTTTGAAATGAACAAAATTAGGGCCCCTTCCCCTTTATTTTTTATTTATTTTAATTTTTGCTTTTATTTTTATTTCCTTAGTTAGTAAATATTATTATGTTTTTTTACCAATTTGTTAAAAACAACTTATGTCCTCTTTAAAAATGATGATAAATTTATTATTTTTGTTTGATAAAAATTCAAATTTGAAATTAACCTTAAACTGGGCAGGTAGGAGGCGGTAAAGAAGGAGGTTAATAGTTTTTTTCTATTTATTTTTATTCTATTTTAGTTATTTATTTTAATTGTTTTATAGTGTTAAATAGTGAAGTTACCCTTTTACTTTTTTAAATTGATCAAAACTCAATTTTATTGATCAATTAACGATCAAATTGACTGTTTGAACCTTTAATTCCATGTCTAAACATATTGATTAAATTGACAACGCAGGTTACATAAATTAGCATTAAGGAAATTTTAATGGACAAAAGTCAAAAGGCATAGAGAGAGAGTTTTTGAATTTTAGATCCTTGTTCGGACAAATAAATATTATGCTATGTTTGATAGCCACTCATTTTCTAGGGAAAATAAAAAAAAATTCCAACTTTCACTTTTGGCCTGTTTGAATGACAAAAATTTTCAAGGAATTCATTTTCCACCTTTGGCCGCGACGTCAGCATTTTATAGCTTTTTCTTGAATTCGAATTCTCACTATATTGGAGAGAATTCGTTTTCCGAGTTACTGTAGCAATTTTTTTCCTTTTTCCTTTTTTTTTTATGGGTGTATTGGCAATGAAAATAAATTCTAAGAATTACTGTAAAAAAATATTTCCCTTTAACTAACAATTTTCATGTAAAACAAAGCCAAACGAACGATGGATGATTTTCTTGATGTATTTTTTTGGTTGACAATTGAAACAAATTTCATCCCCAATATTAATAAATTCTATCCCTTTAATCGACAATTTTCATGTAAATTAAAGTCAAATGAACACTAAAAAATAATTTTATTTCAACATTTTCCACGTGAAAAATTATATCAATCAAACACAATAATTTACAATTACTAGAAAAAATA